CTTGAGCGCATGGAAGCACATGCGTGTAAGTGCGAGCCGCGCCAACACTGCAAAGAATGTAGTAACAAGCACGAGCCGACCGAGCTCACTGGACGGTAATTTCACAGCCCGAGAGCTCTAGGGGCAAGCTTCTTTTTCTTGCGTGTTCGAAGAACGTTTATGAACACTCACTCGAACAAAGGGGACCGCGCTCACGAAGACAAAGCTGTAAAGCAAAGCAGCCATGTGTTGGTGCGTAGAATGCCACGCCCGTGACGTCGAACTGTTGCTTACCTCCTGCGGCATCCTGTCCGTCGCTGTCACTAACCGTAAAGACAAAGAACGACCGGAATTAAAGCACGAGCTGCACATGACAGAATGCGCGTGGTGCACGTACCGACCATTATGGACATTTTTCATATTTGTTGATGTCTACTGCACTAAAGCCTAGGGCGTTTGTTGTTCAGTTAACCAAAAATTTTGTCGGTTTTGTCATGTCAAACGAAGTTAATTGCACTAAAATATATTCTTATAAAAATCACTTCAGTCCTAAATAGGTGAAATGGATTATAAACTTTAAGTTTCGATTTTGGTCTCTCTTCTGGTTTCGGTTTCCACAGCGACGCAGCTGGTCGAACCGCAGCTCGTTTCTTCACGCGATTTTAATGCTCTTTGCACCCCCCCCCCCCCCCCCCCGCCTCCCCCACTCCTGGGGCGTGCCATAATAACTACCCTTTCTTTATCTGTACAGTCAAATTCCGACATTTTCTTTAATTCTTTCGGGTACGCTAAAAGGCGAACACATTTTTTCGTAACACGTTCACTGCGTGTGGGCTCTTCGCGAAGCTTTTATTCAAACATGGATTGCAGTGATGCCACACCATCGGCCATTGCGGTGTCATCGACTGCATAGCCCCTAGTAACGTTGCCCGTACCTCCTGCAGCGTGCATTTCGCACAACCAATTTTTTCTTCCCTTCAAAGACAAGTAGATATGACTACTGCAGGAATGACTACCAGCCAGGGTCGGCCTTACACCATCAAGCGCCCTGAGCAAACTTCGGCCGTGCCGCCTCCTTCCCTCCCTCCTTAACCTTAAAAAAGCATTGCAACGATTTTAACGTTAAAAGAATTTGGATCTTCTACTTTTGGCATTATTTATCTTGTCACAAAGGACAGAAAATATATCTCCAACCCTCGAAATGTTGCGATTCCGCCGCGTAATCGCGAGGAAAAAATTAGAATATTCCCCGACCTGCAGCCGCGAGCGGCGGCTATGGGAACCACGCGGCGTGACGTCAATGGGGGACTCGTAAAAAAATTTCTATAAATCTTGTCGTTCCAACATAGATATAAATGCGTCAAAAACCTGGTATCATCGACAAAACTTTCGTTATACGGAGCTTTAATCAGGAACCACCTATCCGAGGTCAACAAAATCCTCAGCTCTATCTGCCACCGCGAACAGCTGCCAGAAACCGGAGGGGGACGGGGATGGCCGGACCCAGATGAGACTTTCCTCCTTTCGCCATGTTGATCGCACTGCGGAGGCACGTGGTCAAGTAGTCGTGAGCGGGCGACTCCTTGCTGCTCACTGATGGCCACTGATGGCTCCAGAGAGAGCTTCACCGGAACCCCACGTGTCCCCCATTGACGTCACAGCGCACGTGACTCGGAAGATGGTGAAGGAGTTGAGAGGTGCCGAAAACCTCAATCTTTGTCCATTTTTAATATAAAAGCTAGGACACGCAGGCAAACGTGGCATTTTGTTCTTTATTTCAGAGAGGTCGAGACACCAACTCCCAAATTATTTAAGCAAAGCACTGAAATTGTTGCACAGCTCCTTTGAACATGCGAGTAGTGGCCCACGCGAGTGTTTTGTGAGCCGAGAACCGCATTCCAAAAATGAACGGCACTATCAACCATATGGCATCGTGTCAAGAGTTGTGCTCAAATAAATAAAAAAGAAAAAAGCTAGAAACAAATTCAATAAGGGGTGCTGCGGGGCCTTCCTATTGATGGCACCTCGTGCAACCACACACTACCACCCAGGTAGTCCCGGTGGTACTGCCACCAGCACAGTGCAATGACGACCTACCAGAGGTCCACCCAGTCGACTAGAGCTGGGATTCTGGGGACATGTCCCAATCTTTCTCATTTTTCCGATAATAGTGTCAGTTATCAGGAGATGTCTAGCGTGTGCTTTCCATCTTGTTTTCACAAGCTTTGTTGTCCCGAATTGTCCAGAAATTTTGTTGAGTGTCCCGAAAAATAAGGCTACGATTTTGTGCAGCGTTGGCCACAGCTAGCGCATTTTTTCTATAAAATTGGCAAAGAGCGAACTTACCTGAGGAGAAAGTAAAAAAAGAAAAAGGCTTAACTCCTATGGAAGCACAGCGAAGCCACCAGTCTTCAAACAGTAGTGCACCGTTTGGCACGGGAGACAAGAGATGGCACAAGTGGTCACGACGCCAACTGCCACCAATGAACGAGCATACGGTGCCGAGAGCCAGAGTCATCAGCAGAAAATCTTTTCGACACAAAAGCGGCGTGCGATCCGCGGATGGCGAGAACTCTGAAAGAGGCAATTGCAGCATATGCTTCATCGTGAACTGCAAAGCAGACGACATAAGTACCCCCCCCCCCCCCCCCCCCAAGAAAATGGTCCAAGATAACCCTACAAACCATTTTTTAATCGATTATGTGTCCACTAAATGTGTTTTATTATTAAAGATGATAAAACTATGCGTTGGCAAACTGACATAAAAAAAGCTCGTGCCCCTTCAGAGTTGAAAATATTGTCTGCTATTTGATGCCGGCTCTTAGCGTCATATGCACGTTCCTTGGCGGCAGTTGGCATCGCGACCGCTTGAGTCATCTCGTCTCACGTGCCAAACGGCGCCCTATTGTTTGAAGCTGCGTTTTCATAGGAGTTAAGCTTTCTTTCTTTTTTTAGGTTTTCCTCAGATAAGTTCACTCTCTGCAAATTTAATAGAAAAAATTCACCACCTGTGGGCAAGGCTGCACAAAATCGTAGCACGACAGGTCAAGAAATCGATTTTCGAAGTCGATCGAAAGAGCATGGCGCTATTTGAGACACTATGTACAGATATCCCAATTGTCATGCAGGCTTCTCAATACGTGGAGTGCCTTTCCCTCCTGATAATTTTGCATCGGCAAGAAGCGAGCATGGCACTCTCTCTCCAGCGTGCCAATATCTCTACCCAGAGCCGTATATGTAGAGAGTTTGGCCATTCGTTGGGAAGTATAGGAGACAAATGAGGAGGTGCCATTGGCTGAAACCGGACTGGGCGTGTTCCAAGGCGTCTTCAGAAATTCGAATGTGACCAACCAGAAGCCGGAAATAATACCCTGGTGGTGGTTGCGAAAAACAAACCTGATAACTGCGTTAGAGTAACTCTCGATGACTGAAAATATGGTACACGTGATGTTTCAATCACGCTCATCCAAAATGATGGTGGAAGAGTGTGACTAGCGGAACAATCGACATAATCCGTACGCCAAACGCCGAGGTGAAAATCGGCCGTCCGAGCGATCACATTCTGTCCATGCAAAACAGAGTTGAGCGGCGCATTCGTTTCTTACAGCTTTCTGCATGATCATGATCAAAACAACACGTGCACCCTATTTTCAACTACAAAGAGCTACTACACTTCACTCTTATGCACTTATTAAAACCATATACGAACATAGACCTTTGATCAGAACTGTTTCTCGCTACCACCGCTAGGGAATTTTTTTTGGCTTCTGGTTGGTCAAGAGAGCATGCCAAGCCCTCTTTCCGAGTCTGCCGCACGCCCCGGCTCTGCCCGCGCCTCCCATTGACCAAACTCCCTACATATACGGCTCTGTCTCTACCTATTTCAATCTATCGGGTGTTTGTGAGAAATCCGAACCTGGCTTTTCGGACCGCACAAATAAACTAGACATTGCGGGAGCTCCAACTCTGTCAAAACGTAGCTCCATTCGTTCAAGCAAGATGGCAAAGTTTCAGCACCAACCGTTATCTTATTCAAAAGTTATAAGCGATTTTCTGAAAATTTCAATGGAAAAATGGCGGCCGACGGAGCTCTCGAGCGCATGGAGCTCTATGGCGCCAGAAACCGAAAAAGGGCGAAAATGGGCCCCATTTTCCCATTGAAAATTTCAAAAATCACTTATAACTTTTGAATAAGATAACGGTAGGTGCTGAAACTTTGGCAGTTTATTTTTGCAGTGCAAAAAGCCAGGTTCGGATTTCTCGCAAACAACACCCTATATTACGCAGATAACCATTAAACCGGCGCAAGGGCAGACGTTTAAATAACTAAAGCTGACCTGTTATAAACCCAATGCAGGAAAATGAAAAGAAAAAAGAAGGAACAGTTGTATGATAATTTATTCGGGAGCTCATTGCTGTTTGAAGCCAGAACGAGGTTGCTAAGAGTTGGCACCGTCACTACTTTTGAAATGCCTCACAGGCTGCGCGATATCTTCCACTAATCAGCGTTGGGTGGCGCTACAAGCATGAGAGGCAGTCGCGTTTCATTCGTTTGGGACTGTGCATAGCACGACACTGTTTGGACAAACAAGCAATTACTTTCTTTTCCCTCTTAGACATAAAGGCACGCAACGGTAGGAACTAACCTAAGCGTTCTATAGTAAGTTAAACAGGTTAAGAGCCAAGTAGATGCTCCACCTCCAGCATGTGCTTATTGCCCTCCGTCTGGTGGCACGTGCAACCAAGTGTTATCAAAAGTAAAACGTCCGAGACGAAGCAACTGTAGGAGGCCAAACGAGCAATCCAAGCCATTCAAGCCAACAGACCATCCTCTAAAGACTTCCACGACAAACTACAAACGGTCAGACATTCGCGCATAAAACCTCGGTGCGGCTGTCATACGATAAGTTGGCGAGCTTCCTTTGTCTACAGCAGATATTGTGGAACTCGGCACGCCCCAAGAAGATTTGGGTGGCGTGTGTAACAACGACCCCCAGAGAGTCAAAAGCGTGGCAAAAGTATTAACGATAAATTAAGTTTTTATTACGCGTTCGTGGGAGAGCAGGACGCTCCCTCACACTCCAAGATGACGCAGTCCCCCTTTGGCACCGTCGAAAACTTGGCCTGCAAAAACAAGACGCGAGATGTGAAGAACGGTCTTAGGCGTTGTCGCTCTGGCGTACACCGCAGAATGAGATCCCCCCTTCATCTCATTTTAAAGGGGTAGTGAAACGAAATTTTAGTGCCGATCTTGTTGCATAAATATGGGCTAGGGACAGGCACCACCTCAGAAATATAAATATTGCGCTGTAAAACACAGGAGAACTAATTTTAAACATAATTTAACGATTTCAAATTCTCATCTGGTGGATGGGGGAAGTTCTCGTGACATCACTTGTGCCATAATAGCAGCGCCGTTCTGCGGCAATACGGCGTGCCGGCAGAATTCGCCTAGGCCTGAACGCGTTTGCAAAGCCTTGGCAGAGAAAGCCAAAGCGTAGTTGGCCACAGTGAGCTCGTTCTCGTTGCGGCTCTTTGCACGACACGACCCGAGCATGCTTCTGGCACGGCCGGTATTAGTTGCTGCGAGTCGCGAGCTGCAAGCCGACGTTAAAAAGGATATGTCTGAACTACGAGGGTGTCAGCAAGAGCTACGCAAATACCTGTTCACACTCGGAGCGGATACGCGCGTTTGATCGAAGTGCTGGATTCGCTCTGCTAGACCGCGTTTCGGTAAGCACTTCTGGACCGATCTTTTATGATTGCAACTCGATACTGACATGACACTCGGCAAAGAAAGGCTAGACCGACATCGCGTAGCTCCCACGAACTGCTATAGCTCGACAGTGACGTAGCGTCGAGTCAGAATAAAAATGGCATACTAATAACAGAGTGTACATACCGAGTTGCGAAGGTAATCCGTATGGCGTTTATTTGAGCTCTACATCACACAAAACAAGGAGATAGAATCAATGAGAGTCCCTTTTCGACGACAACGTTCGTCACCGCTGCCTCGGAAAACAAGGAGATCGAGATGACAAGGGGAAAATATTGACCTCTGAAATTTAGTTCAGGGATCAAACTACTCATCCGGGAAGGGTCCACAAGGGTAGCGCGGGCATATTCCATTCAGCAGGCCAGCCGGTCATGGGGAGACGGTCTTGGCCAAGGACCGCCGGAGCAACGGTGCACCGAGTCGATGTTGCTGCTAGGCCTACTATATTCTGCCGAGCTCGCTCGGTCGGCAGAATCGTGGCCGTTGTAGCTCTTCTCGTGTGTTTGTGGATCCTGCGTTCTTGATCGTCGTGGTCTGTTTTAAGTACTCCTTCCTTTTTTCTTGCTGGTTGAAGTCGGGACGCACGAGAAGAGCACGTAGAAAAATAAATGTCCGTTGGTGGCCAATACCAAGTAACTGAGCGACGCTGTCGGCCTTGTTGATTTGATCGTAAAAAGTGCGTAAGACAGCTTCGGAGCTGTCGTAGGATTCTGTCGTAACCTGCGCAAAGGTTACGACAATTTCGTTTCGAGAGTACGGGTTTTCTCTCAAATTTGTCGTACGCACTTTTTTCGTCGTGAGTTCGCTTTGAGAATTCGGCCTCAGAGCTGGTTTTGTCAGTGCTGCCGTGGTTGCCGACTTGCCGTGGTGCAGCATGCGTGCAGCCCTTGCACATCTCAAACGGCCACGTTGTCACAGGTCGTAAATCGTCGACGCGCCACCAAGTGGCAACGCTCGTAACCACAACATTCACGCCGTAGCCTTTCCCGTCTGGCACAAGTGACGTCACGAATGCGCCCAATATCCCAAGACGCATCGCGCTCTCCGATGGCCGATTTTTGAGCGCGCGTCCAATCGGGCCCATTAGGGTGAAAAATATAGCCATCCGTTCAAAATACAAACGCGCGATTATGATTTATGAATATCATTGATCATATTGAACCTATTTCTGACCATAATAGGTGTATTTCAAGTTTCGCTTCAGTATCCCTTTAAAGCATAGTCCGAGTTAGTTTTTCCAATTGTAATGATCTTTTATTTTAAAACATTCTACAGAATGTTACTTTTTTGTTTTGTTTTTTCGAAGAGCAAGGTTCTATGGAATGCTAGTAATGTTAGCCTGATCAGAACCTTACAAGAAAATTCGGCTTTACACATAGTTAAATTTTTTTTTAAGTCGATCAAACCTTACATTTGTCAGGCTTTTGACAAAAGAGTTTTCTGCCACACTTTGCTTTAAAAAAAAAAACATGGCGACTACTACATGGCGGGTGAGTTTGTCCACTCCTCGTGCAACATGCAGTGACATCTTGGTACCGGGCACTGACAAGAAGATAGAGGATACTCAAAAGCAGCCTGCCGTCGTCTGCTAGTAATAGCAATGGCTGCCTTGCCTTTTTTGTGCACATTGAAAATCTATGGCTTCTTTACTAGGCCTTTGAGAAAGGGTAGAGGTGATATCTTAAAGGGCACGTTGGTTTTGTTGAATAAAAACTGGCAGAAACGCTACAGCGAACAAAGAACTTGCAACGGAGATGATATACGCTACCCGCTGAGGAGAATGCCACCTGTGGGGGCAGAGCTTTGTCATACACAGTCACTTACACCCCCCCTCTTTTAGTGCCTCCCCTCTAATGTGCGGAAAGATGCGATTCAAGCGCCTCGCGATTTTACCAAATGAGCAATAGGGGTATTCTTCTCGTAATTAATGAACTTTGGCTCTCGTGGCATTGCACCAGTAAAAAGCGAGACAAAACGTAAGATATGCTTTACATACCACGGAGGTACAACTCTGTAAAGGCAAACAACTCTGCAAAGCAACCCCCTTTCCTCCTAAGTGGGGTGAACTTAGGAGGGGAGGGGGTTGCTTTGCAGAGTTGTTTGCCATGTTGGGTTTGGGATCATAATGGGGGGCATTGTTGGTGACTGTGTATGATTCATGGTTCAGTTCAGGGGAAAGGGGGGGGGGGGTTAGAAACGGTCATTGTGTGTTTCCCAGTGCTTGTGATACATTGTCCGTGTCGAAGTCCTTCCGGGTGCGGTGGTGACGACCTTGTGCTTTTGTTTGCGTTGGACCCCGTGTACTGGGTGAAGATTGAAACGATAGGCCATGCTTCTCTTTTGTTTTTTTTATGTATTGTTTGCCGTTCGGTGTATTGTGATTCTGGTGTATTGTTTGTAGCTCGGTGATCAACCATTGTGGTCATGGCGACGTTCGGGGGAGGTGTGTGTAAGGCATAGAGGCAATAAAGCTTTTAGCTGAGTTTGAGCATTGTCTGTCCCTTTTTCTTCCTACTTCACGAGTTTCCGTTTTTCCAACCACAGTCTCAGGTTTCAATCACCATGTATACCTAGATAGGTATTTGTTACATGGTCTTATTTTACCTTGCACAAATTGTTGGTAGAGGTAGTCCACTAAATATGCATAATTAAGTAGAAACATCAGATTGTATGTTTGTTGCAACTGTGTCATTGGACACTTGGAACAAATAGCTGTGTAAAACGTGTGCAGACACTTCCAGGTTTTCCCAGACGGAGCTCGGAAACGCATTGAAGTCAGCATCTCGTCACAGTCAAGCGTACAGTGTGCAACTTGGCATAAAATTTCGTGTCACGTGAGACCCTATTGTCATAAAGAGACACGAGGCATAGGTCTGCAAAGACAGAGTAGTAACTGTAGGTCTTTTCACCCTCCATCACATGGATGCTGCCCCCTCGAAATCGCACAACGTGACCGCCGTAAGGTGGCTTCAACTTGTTGCTCCGGCCTCCCTTCCGCACCTAGGTGAATGCGTCGTTTTAGTGTTTCCTGTCACATTTCACTGCTTTTCTTGCCTTACTTCATTAAACGTCCTTCCACGCTTATACCTGCTGCCTAATTAAATTCACTTATTATGCGTACAACATCTACAGTTGACTTCGTAAAAGACCGTTTTTATTGTCGGCATTTGTGTGACAATATCAGAGCAGGCACAGGACACTGTGCCTCCTCTGATGTTGTTGAGTATGTAGACAACTCTGTGACAGCACGAGGGTTGAAAGGATAATTATTAAGGAGTGCACAGCCTTGCTTAGTGATAGCAGTGAAACATTCATAATAAGAAGCGAAGTCAGTATATAAAAGACACTAAGTTGGCTTCCCAAAAACATCAAGCTTTGACATTGTAATTATATAAAAAACGGTTACTTTTGATTATATAGATATTTAAGATATGTAATTCTATGCATTTCATTTGATGCTCAGAATAATGGTAACATCAAAACCAGTCCATTTGTTTGTTCATAATATTACACCTATCTGCATGCTCGACCTTCTTGGTCCAGTGACGGAAGTGCTGCGCCATTTATACCAAATTGTGCCACGAACGAAAGTCTGCTTTATCTAGCGCCAAAATGCCATTTTTGCTAAAAATTGCGACACACCTGTGCCAAATAAGCTTCAACAACAAAAAAAAAAAATTAAATAATTGGTCAACCCTAATATTTAGAGAAGTATAGAGGGAAAGGAAATTGGTACATTTTTAAACAGTGTTTCTCATACTGTATAGTTTGTGTCATCTTAGGTCAGAACACAGTTGAAGGCTCGAACACATACAACAAACATTACTAAAACTGCAAGTCACGGAACATTAGCTGCACTTGATTGGTCTGGTTAATGAAAGAACATGAATAGGAAGATGACAAGTTAAGATGTGCGTTTTTTGCTGTTTGGTTGGTCCTATCGGCTCATAGTCGGCTGCGCTCCAAAATGTCAAATGGCACGTCCATCACAGTTAATAGTTTTTGAAATAGAAACATTTGCTTAATCAATCTATTTATAAATTAAAAAAAAAAAAAACTATACCGGGATCTGTTTCACGTAAGCAGTCATTGAGGTGCTTCAGTGATTTTGTTAAAGGGTAACTGCAAAGAAAAAAAAGTACTTTTAAACAGCCTAATTGGGACAAGCATGTCACAAAACAATGTTTCCGCCAAAAACAAAATTTTTTAAAGCAATATTTCTTGCGCGAGACTGATTTTAGTTTGCGGCTATTTCGTCCGTTTTAAATTGCGCGCCACAAAGTTTGTATTATACGTCACAGAGTGGTAGCTATACGTTACAGAGTGACGTATATAACGGCCACTCCGCGCGCGTCGAAAGAGCAGGAGTTTCAAATGTGAAGAAGTTGTGACCCTGACTAAATTACGTCCTGTGGCGTAAGTATTGCTAGAAAAAATTTGTTTGTTTTTTTTTGCGGAAGATTTTTTTTGTAACATGCTTGTTCCAATTCGGCTGTTTAAAAAAACACTTTTTTTCTTTGCAGTTACGTGAGCTCCCGAGCACGAGCAACAGCAAGATCGATGTGAGCACGGACGCCGGACAGATAAGGCTAGACCCTAAGGAGCTTCGCCCCTAAAATGACATTTTGGCGCTACATGTACCAGACTCGCACTCAAGGTGCAGCTTGGCACGAATGGCGCAGCACTTCCATCGCCGTATGATACAAGCTTCCTTGTGAGCTAATAAAGCGGACAAGTGGATTATACACCTGGTGCAGATTATCCAAGGAAAAGATTTTTCTTCTCAACCGAAATTTGCTCGTGCGGACAATACACCAGGCACGGACTATGGTCCGAAAAATATGGCACGCGTCTTATCGAGGCACTTTCGAGAAAGGCGTTTTTTAGAAGCCGCACGTCCCATGAGGCGCGGGCACCAAGGACAGAGAAGCACACTTGCCGTTGTGAGTAGATGAGCAACGTGTATGGCCGTCTCCGTGTGTAGCGTCAACGGCCCGGACAGGATTCGCGACTTCCCGCTTGCGAGTGCCGCGAACACCACCAGCTGCGAGAGAAGAGCATCTTTTTTTTACCATGTTGCAGTCGACTGCACTATGGTAAAATGGGGCGGGGGGGAAAAATATGTGCGCTAAAGGGAGGGTTTTCCGTTTTCGGGGTTCATTAATGCAGAATGTTTTTTGTCGGCAGTTTTCTACGAGAAGATTGAATGAGCATCACGAACGAGCAACACACTGGAAGCGTCACATCACGTTAAGGTTATATATAAAGTTTACAAAAGCCCACAAAAATGAACGGAAGAAAGGTGCCCCAGCATGGATTGAACCTGGGTCGGTAGCCACTGAGCTGCATAGCAGAGCTCTTCTGCAAGAATTGCACTCCCGGCAAGACGTGCCAGCAAGAGCAGTGCAACGTCGTACCACGCGATTGTTCACCTCACTCACGTCGCACAAGAGCCATAGAAAGTAGTGACCATGCAGTGCGCTCGTTTGCTCGGTACCATTCTGGCTAACGACGACCGGGGACCATGTTTTGTGCTGGCCAGTCTTGGTTGGCACGATCGAGCTTGAATCATTTTTTTTTTAAATTCAGAGGTGCTTTTTTTGGCCCTATTTTTTTACTTGCAAGCAGCCTCGCAGACAGTTTGGTGGGGGTGAACCCAAAGTAAAGCTTTATATAAATAGCTGTTCCCTCGTAGCTTGGAGTTTTCTCGATTAAGGAGAGCTCAAAGTTGGGATTTTTCGGTTGTCCCTAATTCAAATAAAACCGGCCATGGGATTAATATTCAGTGATTATCAGTAAATACCGAAAACAGGGAGCCCCAGGTATAGAAAATGAATAAAAGGCAAACGGCAGGGCACGTTGCTGCACTACCTCGAGGCCGATAAAACTGCATATGTGCACACTTTCTCCACTTGGTACACTTCCTAGAGAGGTAGCATAGAATGTATCGACATGTATCAACATTTGTACAACATGATACACTAATGCAAAGACCTCTTTGAAAACTTTGGGACCACTGCCTGAATCTCATGAACCAACAACTTGTTTGGAAGTAAAACATGTTTCGACCTGACTTAACTGCACCATCCCTAAAGCATCCTAATTCTCTGCTCCTGTTCTAGGCTACGCTGGTGACACGCCGTGTCTATTCGGCGACTCATTCGCGGGCCTGCCGTACCAAACAGCTGTTCACGTTTCGAAACTTTACCGAGTTCAAAAGGAGCTATCGACTCTTTGCTCGGATGTACATGAGATACAGTCTAGCCTGGTTACAGTATTGGGTAAAGTACATCTAGAAAGTGCTTGACGTACAAAGTAGATGAGAGGTTATATGAAGTAAAGTAAAGTAAATGAGAGGCTAGTTGCACACCCCTACTAATTAGTGATACAGCCTTGATCCAGCACTGCATTAGCACTGTCCCTAGTGGTGATTTTACACAGAAATGAATGTGTGAACTGGCTTAACAGCAAATTAACGGCTATACAGTCACCGACCAATTTTTCGGATGCCGATAACTCGGACTTGTTAGATATTTTGGACCTAAAGGAGGGACTGTGACTTGCCCGACGGAAATAGCGCATATTCACGATCAAAGTTTCGGACAGCTTGAAGTCCGAAAGTTCAATGTTTCAGACTAAATTGTCGCGAGGGATTGGCAAGAGAGACCACCGAGAAGCAGCCATTTTAGATTCTATGTTGGCTGCACATGGATCAGCTTGGTTCAGCATCGCCACTTGAGTACTGCTAGTGCTGAGTCCTACCACTACCACAAAGTACCGATCAAGCGCCCACTCAAAATTTAGAGATAATTGCAAGAAAGTGGGGGATGGGCACATGTTAAAGTCACAAATTTTATCTATATTTGTACTGCGGATATTTTTTTCATGTGTTACAACATTTATGGAGGAGCGCTCAGTGTGGAATGGGCGGATGCTCAATATTTTACAGTAGGTGGCGATATGCTACGGATTTTTTCTCTCTAGCTGCAAGTCATTGTCATCATCACTTTTACCATTTTGCTTTGTTCGTTCCCCATTCTGCAGTCGTGGACTTGCGCCTCTCATCTTGTCTCGGTGAATCGTGTTTTCGAATTACTCTGGCATGGGCATCATGGCCCCATCCATTCTTTCACCAACGCAAAGTGTCACTAAGAAGTGCGAAAAGTACTCGACCATAACATTAGAAAAGAAGGCAGCAGTCCTCAAGCTAATAGAAAGTGGCCGAATGCAAGTGGAGGAATAACCTAAACCAAGGCGTGCAGGGTAACCTGAACCAAGGCACTATTGGTGGCTGTTTTAAGCCCGCTTAGACGTAATAAAGGCAAGTCTTTTAATCTGCTGATTTTTTTTGACTGCTCTATCATTCGGACGTTTTTTTGGTTCCTGCGAAATCTGAAAAGCCGGTTGACGACAATAATTAAAAGAACTTGGTTTCCCACTCGCATCTAGGCATTTTCAATGCAATTTGGTTTCAGTTTTTACCGAAGAAATAAATGAGCTTCGGTGGACATTGAAAAAAGTTTCATGTCAATCGAAAACAATAAATGTTTTAATCAGAATAGTTTTGGAGATTTCGGATAAACCTGAAGCGAAAATGACAATCCAAGTTTGGCCGTCGTCAGCCTGTGGTGTGTCGTCTGCTCCCCCGTTGCAAAAGATGTCTTCACCGCACCACGATGCCAAACATTCTCCGATCGCATCGCCGGAAAACAAGGCGAGGGTCGAGAGGGCAGCGAGTGAGGCGTGTACAAAGTTCAGGGAGCTCTCCGAACGCTGTTCGGGAGTAAAAACATCTTTTATAAATAAACCAACGAACGGAGTGCACAGAGACTTTTTACAAAGCCATCTTTAGGTGGTGCCTTGATCGTCCTCAAACTTCACAAGCGTAGGTTTCACGAATATAAAACAAAGCCTAGAAAAACCTGCATTTTCCCATGCACGAGGAGGAAAATGACAAAAACCTTCTTAGTTGACGCTGCAACTCACAGGCGGTGCAATCTAAAGCAAAAATATGAAAGCCTCCTTGACACGAATACCCAAAAGCAGGTCCAGCAGATGTGCGCATGTGTGGTGCCACCTGTGAGGACTAGCATCAACCGAGCTTTTGCCATTTTTCTCCCTACAAAAAAAAAGTGATTTTTTTTTTTTTTTATTGAAACCTACGTTAGTAAGTTTTGAGTATGATTAATGCACCACCTAACGACACCTTTGTTAGAAGTTTTAACGAACTCTGTTCATTCATTTATTTATAAACATATCCTTTACACCCGCCACACGAGAATAGCCTGTACAACGCACTTGCAGAAACATACCTGATCTTGGAGGTAGCTGTCGACGCAGGTGTCTCTCTCGAGTTCACGCAGGAGGTCACGAGCCGCCACTTCGCCTACGGCCTCGGCGGGCGACCCTGGAAGAGAACACGGTGCAACGAGACTCAAATGAAACCGAGGAGAAAGAAGAAACTGACAGAGGTAACAGAGTCTTTCGGCGTCAGCCGAAGAAGTACAACACGCAGATTGGACGCGTCGGCATTCGGCCGTGTTCAATCGCCGAAAACACTGGCCGAAAGCTGATGCAGCACCCGTGTCCAATGTCCCTTAGGTGACGCTGAAGATTCGGCACACGGCTTTGTGAGCCGACAGAGGCGTAGGGAGGTAAGAACAGGCGAAAAGAGGAGTCCCTCTTCCGAGCCAGAATGCCCTCTTACTCGAAGCAACCAAAACGAAACATATAAAAGCGAACCGATAAGAACCAATCTGCCGATGATGATGATAATGATGCCTGCTCTGTCAACACAGAACTAAGAACACAACAGAGAAAGAGAGGAAGAAAAAGAGGGAAAAGGCACAAATTGAGAGACAGACCAAAAAAAAGGGAGAAACAAATCGAGACAGAAATAACCGACTAAAGATAAACACACAGCAATGCCATTGCACTTAGCCAGAAACGGGTATAGCTCATAAAATACATTTGATATCATTTGCGACTTTTTATGGAAGCAAAACCTTCACCACATGCTAGTTTCACAAACAAATTCCGTTTCTTCCCTGACCATGAAAAAAATACCTAGCTGTTTTGTGGGACTTTTTGTTACTTTTTTTTTTCTTGAGGAAATTTAGGTTTGCAATATGCTGCCATGCATAAAGATGAGGCTAAATAAGTGGGCTTTTGAATGATGCAAAAATGAAAGCAGACTTGAGTTCTAACAAAAAGCTTAATTCATCAAACATTTTTTTTTTTATGGTTGAAATTAGGTAGTTTTAGCGATATCTATATATATAAATAAAAAAGTGCCTCCAAATAATAAATTACAGTAAACTTTTATTAATTCGAACTCGACGGTACCTTGAAGTCTGGTCTGATTATCCAAATGATTCAATTAAAAAAAGGACAAAAAGACGGTTAAAACTGAACTTCCTTTTATTGTCCAAAGTACTCACGGATGGTCTGCCACCGTCTGCACTTAAAACGCATGTCCAAAAGCATGCTCCGGAGAGCAGCACACCGTATTTACTTGAGTAATAGCCGCACTGTTTATGCAGAACACGCGATGGTTCACTTTTCCGCGGAGCACGCTGATTGCCAATCACCGCGATCAACATCATGACTCCAGCGGTTCACAGGACAGAGATAACATCTTCACACAAAGATACCATCTGTGAAGTTGCATTTGTATGGAGACTCGTGTTCTCGATCTAGTTATTCACTATGTTACTTATGCGCAATGCAATGATTGGCTGTATATGTCCTTTGCGGGAAAGTAGAAGCAAGGGGCCTTGTTCATAAATAGTGCAGCTATTACTCGAGTAAATACGGTAACTAAATGTCACGTCCTCAAAAAGCAAACTCTAACAAAAAAAAAAAAAAAAAAAAAAATGTGCGTGCTTTTTTAGGCGTTAAACAGCCAGACCGTCAACGCCAAAAAAAAAAAAAAGGAAACGACAGTTTGTGCTTTTTGGCGCGCAAGATGGGCCACACACGATGCTACAGAAAAGCGCTTTGGAGTGCATGCTGCCTCCGCACCCGACCATGCGCTATGTTCTCCGCACTACTCCACGCCAGATTGGCTGCGCAATCGTGTCATTCGCTACGATCCATCTCAACGGCGTAGAGGAGCAGACGCATATTTGAGCATGTTCGGCTTTGCAGCAAAGGGCCCGCGTTTCGCCGTACGTTGGTGGTTTTTCTGCCGTGGTGCCGTGCAATGTGAGCCCGCGCGTATTCGCCCCGGAAGAATTATCCGATGCAGATTCTTTCCGAGTTCGAACTATCGAACTTTTCGTCCCAGAGAAATGCATGGGTGCTCGCCGGGACTTTTGAACACGATCGAATTAAACGAGAAGTCAAATTGAGGTCGAACTAACGAAAGTTTACTGTAAACAATATGTCCCCCATTTTCATAACAAAAAGCTCAGCTAAACCTAGAGAGCTAACTCAAAAGGGTTTCAAGCTACCAAAAAATCAAACCAACCCCCCCTCCCCCTCAGCTGACATGCCATGGGGCCAAGTAGCTTCTCAATGAGGTAAAGCAAAGGTCATCCGAACTGGAATATGCTGAACTGGCTCCATCATAAGACTTGCACTGCCACCCGAGTCCAAAAAACCGACGGAGGGTTCACAAGAATTTCCACGTTTACAGATATGTGGCAAACCCGGATTCGCGTCGGTAAGGACGACGCATCACTGGTTTCACGCTCGGCTAAAAAATTGATGAACGGAAAGATGAAGGGATACAAAAACGAACGAAGTTGTAGTCTTTGGCTCCCTATGAGAAGGTGCAGTGAGCGCGGGATCTTTGTGAGAGTTTTCAAATGGGCCTCCGTACCTGCCAATCACAAATGATAAACGCGGTATGGGTGTGGTCAGGAAAGAACTAAGTGCGAGCATAGCAGTAGCTACAAGAATGAGCTCCGGGCTTTCGGCGTTTGAGCCTCGGCGCTGGTGCAGTGGAAGCATCATTTGTGGTAGCATGCTCGTGCTCCTAGCTTCGGCTTCACTGGCACGTAAAATGAAATAAACCACGTATCACTTTCGTAGAAAATTGGAGCGCAGTACCTCGCAAGACGCAAGATTCGTTACTTCGCGTTTCGCAAGCAGGTTCCCTCCACTCGGCAGATGCGACAGATGTGCAGGCTTTGTTCATAGACAACAACGCAGCGACCTGAGAATGCGCCGAGGTCAGACAAGACCACCCACCTCTCTTTCCGAGCGAACTCCCGGCCCTGTAGCATCCAGTGGACGACTCGGCCATGACTCTGGGGTGAAAAACAACTCGTGAAACGACTGATGGCATTTGGGCGAGGAAATTAGCTCACATCAGAGCCGTAATCAGAAGGGGGTTAAAGGGTTCTGACCCCCCCCCCCCCTCCCCCGAAATGTTTTTCTGGGTACGGCCCTGGTCGGTGCACTTGTAGCCAGCCGATTTTAATCTCCACCTCTGCGCACGCGCAGTGGCACCGGTCGGCTACCGGGTACCAAACCGGGACCGGTTCTTCGGTTTGCTATAACTCTCCATTATATGCCACCGATGCACATGATTCATAGGCGAAAATAAGACAATAGACATTTTCTAAATGGCCGCCGTTGTCCCCGAAAACCGCCCCCCCCCCCCCCCCCCCCCGAAATTTTTTTCTGGGTATGGCCCTGGCTCACATGATCATGGTGCTTGAAATACGTCTCCGACTGGTAGGTTTACTGCATCATTAAAAGTGCTTCCTTAAGTTTTGCCCCGCGACCCCCCCGCCCCCCCCCCCCCCCCCCCAAAAAAAGATGTCATATTTTGCCAGGCGATTTATAATGGTGCCGAGACACCACCCAATACATTTTTTGCTGCAGTCGTGTATCTTTGAATACGTTCGCGTTTCTGCATGGTATGTGCGCTGACCTTGAACTGGTTTGGAGTGCGCACCTATAAAGTTTGCAATGTCGCTACGGGATGGCGCCGCAGCCCCACTAGCAATGGAGGCCGCACTGCATTGGCTGGTTATAAGTGGCACTGTGACATAGCACCTGCCAACCGAAGATTGCCGGCAACGTACTCCTTCGTCAATTTCAGTGCCACACAGTGGGGGACGGCAAGTGTATCACCGGGGCATGTGTTACCCCCCCCCCTGTTCACGCAGCTTCACGGCGAGTCTGCAGATGCCTCATTACAAAATATTAACCCACCTTAGACCACCGTACGTGTAGCCTCATGGCGCTCCACCGGAGGCCCAAGTACGCCCTAAACCCGCTGTCCCCCACTGCATATCAGTTGCTGGGTGTTACGTCACGCCGTCGCTTTCTATAACCAGCCGATCCTGTGGAGCCGCCGTCCTTCATGCAAACGCCAAGTGACCGGATCTGCTTGCACCAGGAAGGGCGGTTTCAAGAATGTTCACCCCGCGGAAAAGTGCTGAGAGGCGGAATTCAACATGCTTTGTTATACTGCCGAGACCGATTATAACGAAGTCAACAGGAATCGGAAATCACTTCGCCATATCCGTTATAACCGACTTCGGTTATCAAAGTGCAAAAGGGAATGGGAAATCAAAATGGCTTCGCTTTAGCCGCTATTTCGTTATAACCGACTTCGTTATAACCGGTCTCGACAGTATAACCGCTGCGCGAAATGCTAACGCATTTCTTGGGGAATCAGCGTGGTGGCAGCAGCAATCTCGGCCCATTTCTTCACAATTATTTTGAAGCGGACACATGAGCACGGAGGCTCATGGCCGAATAGCGGACCAATGAGGAGGGGGAAATGTGGAGGAGAGAGTTGCAAGAAGTCACATGGCTATCGATTTCTTTCTCCGCTCCTCCTGCATGTGAAGCAGACAACGAAGACATTGCGTGCACCAGTTGTCGTGCGATTGTTTCGCACTTATGTCCATTCTGCTCGCAGTTCCGTGTTTGAAGATCGATTGACCAGTACGGCGAACGACAGTTCCGAAGTGGTCCCACATTCATGCTTTAATTATTCACTAATGCAGAGGTGCGGAAAGTGGGGGTCGCGGGGTCATAAGGAAGCCGAGCTACTGTTAGCTTCGATACTGCTGTAAAAGAGAAAAGGGGTGGGTGTCGCTAGACGGCGTTCAAGTACTTTAGGGGTTGCGGGCCTGAAAAGTTTGAGCAACCCTGCACTAAAGAATATGAGTGTCACCCCAGTCGGAGACACGTTTTGGGACCCATACCCTTAATACGAAACGGCCGGGAAGCAAGAAGGGCACTCACATGATCCCGCTGCCGGTGCCCATCACGTCGGCCTCGTTTTCCTTGACTCGTTCGATTGACACGTCGATCGAAGGCAGCCGCTTCTGTATTATCCCGGCTGCGGTGTCGGCCATTACGTGCGCCAGCTAATGGAGAAACGCAGACCAGTCCATTGGGGTGATCTCATAACAACACTTTTGAACTCTTTGACCTACCCGAAAAACTATCCCAACAAAACAAGCCATCAAACTTCGAAACAAGCTTCGTACTATCCCAACAGAACATGACAGATCTTGGTTTAGAGCACAGAATGCTTTACAACAGAACCCCCCAATCCCAAAAGTTTGTACGTCCACGCATTTCTTTGCGAAACTTCGTGGGGAAATTGACGTCATGGGAGGTCGGGGTATTGAGCGACACTATGACTTGACGCGGTGGTGTCCAGTGATGACGTTGCATAATGTCAGGTCGTGCGACATAATTCCTCGCTAAATTCAGCTGGGACGTCTTTCGACATCCCCGCTGTGGCCATGTAATGCCGTGATTTGACATAACGTGACTTTGATGCGACAAAAACTTCCCCGCTAAATTTAGCGGGGAAATGAATAAACACTATGTTCTTCGCTCTTCGAAACGAATGTTCAATGTCTTCTAAACAAATTCAGACGATCACTCTTTGAATACTGCATTCCATGCATTTTGAGACTTTCGAGATACAAAGGTCACTGGTAATTTTTCATTTTATTTTATTATAGTAGAGAAAGAAATAAATCCTATGAACAGAAAACATACAGAGATGCGATACAGCGGCGATGGACCATAGCAAGACCAAAAAAAATAATGCATCACAACAAAGTATGTACACATATTCAATATAGGAAGGTGAGACAAAGTAACAGCATCAAGAAAAAAAGAAATTGGTTAGACCGAGACAAAATGTTATAAAAAATATTCTTTGACCAGAATTTTTTAACGGTATCACAAACAGCGACACCATGCGTAAGCTAATAAAGTTTCAGACTACGGTTTGTTTTAAAATGACTTTGTTTTAAAATGACCAGAGTCTGCACTTGCTGCCGCCAGAGTCCGCAGCAAGTGCAGACTCTGGCGGCATGCTGTCACGTACCTCGCTTCGTCGCTCTTGTCAGCTCACCGGGGCAACAGCTTTAGCTATTGGCCATGCTACGACGAGACAGACTATAGACCATACCAATAATCGCCTTCTGCTCACTGTCGTCTTTCTTTAATGGGCCGGGGAACAGATTTTGAGCATGCACGCAAGCGGTCATAAACAGCGTTCCTGATTTAGCTGTTTTCCCGCTAAATTTTGCTGTTTTCTCAGTTGTCTAGCGGCAGAAATTGTCATTTTTGCAGTTGGCAGGATTTGTAGCTGTTTTCAAATGTGAAAGATGTGATTGTATTGTCCCAGTGTTAACTGTTTATTCTTTCTTCATCCATCACTTGAACCAACAAGCTCTTCTCCCAAGCATGCCTTTCAAATCACATTAGCATCTTTTCTGGCAGTCCAAAATGTTCTCCAGTTTACATTGATTAATCGTAAATAGCTTAATTCCTGTGGTAAGTTAGAGTCGCTGTGTCATTATTTTTGCTCACTCTCAACAAAATTGTTGCTAGTGAGAACGGTTCTTGCGACACCATAGATGTTATGTTATGAGGTGTTATGAAGGCAAACATTGAAACATGATGTTAAAACACTCATTCTTGGCCTGCACCTTAAATGTAGCGTTTTTTTCCAGGACTCCTTTGCAGGTTTCTGATCTCTGAATTGACAACACAGAGTGTAATGCAGTTGGCCACACTCTGAACACAAATGTCTGAGCCAGCCATAACCCTTTGACAATTTTTGCTACACATTACGGCGGCAGTTAGACTTCTGAAAGTGCTTGTCTAAATCTGAAACCGCGGGAGGTGTTATGTCCTTGGCAGACTATAACCGTTATATTCCCATGGTGTTTCACTTTGCTGGGGCTATTTATAATTACGAAGATAGATAGCTTAGCACACGTGACACACGCGAGATGGTCTATTCGCATGCCGGCTGCTCCTGCAATTGGAGAGCCAGCGCTTCCGATTCAGGCTTTCAACGCTTCTCAAAACTGAACTCAAATGAGAGCTTACCATCCGATGGAGAAACTCTATTCGCGACTCCAGCGACCTATAGGGGGCGCCACCGCCAAACAAACATGGCGGCTGAGTCCAGGTCGCGGCGGCTCGGCCGGGCCGCCTGAACAGGTGGCGCGTTCAATTGAACAGATTTTCTTTTGTTTAATGCCCAATTTTATAGGCATTTGAACTGAGACGGTTAGGTGCAGCCGGTGCAGATAAATTTGCAAAACATAGTTTTGTTTTGCCGGTGTTTTGTTTTTTTTTTGTCCTTTTCGTGTCAAACTTTCGTTTCGGAGATTTCGTTCAAAACCGAAACTACGGGCTCCGGATAGACGGTAATATACTAATCAGATTTGATCATCTAAGGAAAGCGGCGATGACTATAGAATTGTTCCACAGAGAGTAACTTTTCAGCTAACTCGCATGCCTCGACCATGCGACTTATCTGTCCGCGAAATCGAGCTTTTGTGCATATCCGCGTTTACGAAACAGCTCCAGTCGTCTGCTCGGCCAACAACACAGGCTGCAGGAAAATTACGAAAATTAAGCAACCGCTTTTTGAGCCAAGGACCATGTTAACCCGCCGGTGCCCCACTAAGCAGCTGAAACTCGTATTTCAATTCAGGTTTTAGTAGCAATCGAGAAGTTATTTTGACAAGCGGGTTATGTATTATATTACGTACTATGGTCCCACTAAAGCGATATTAGTATATCCTTCGGGTTGAAATATGAGCTTAGTTGACTAGCTATTAGGTGAGCTGCTGAATAAAAGTATATTTGACAGACAGAGACATACTACTTAAACTTAGCCAAATGGTTCTATAGCCGGCAGCACGGAGACAAACTGAAGAGAGTGTGTATTGAAGATCCACGCAGAACCTCTCTGCATTGAACTTTGCTTCGAATCGTGAACGGAGAAAATTAGTATTTTTTTTGTGGCCGGTCAACCTGACCAATGTAGACGTATATTGCTGCTGGCTTCGACATCCTCGTAATATAAATCTTGGAGGCGCGATAGGTCAAAATGCCGTGACAGCATCTAACGTTGCGAGACTTGTTTCCCACCTTTTGAAAACAGATAATTTCCCTCATTCATCATTTGCAGCGAGCAAGTTTTCCTGAATCAAGTAATTGCGAAATCAGCCCAACTCCTTCAGTGTGGTCCAGAGGCTTTTTCGGCGAAAAACAGCCAAGATGAATAGCCAACGCACCGACCGGCGTGGGTGGCTCAAACTTGAAGCTAACCTAACACAACCAAACTCAAGAAAAGCAGCTATCGAACCTTCCCATTCACTTGACTGCAACATTGATGTTCCATCCAGTATCAGTTACCAAGCAGTCGTCACTTTGAATGTGATTCGAAACAGACAAGAAACCAAAAAGATTTTCCGTGATTCCTCCCCATCCAAGAAATCGAAAGCACGCGACCGTGTGCTGTGGAGTAAACGGGCATTCAAACACGTAATAGAAGAAAACAATCTACTGAGGCTTCACCACACTAATGATCACTCAGGCGAACTTAAGAAATATTCGGACCTTCGTCAAGTTACATTGTTCGCCACCGCGCCGACAACACGTCTCCGCGAAAGCCACCAGAGACGCGGAGGGGCGCGGAGCGACCTGGACCGGCTGGTTCCCGGTTTTCCCGCTTGGCGGCGTCCGTTTTGCTGGAGTCGCGAATAAAGCAACTCCGACTCAGAATCTGAAACCGCCGAAACGTCGCAGAAGTGGACGCATCGAAAGGAAACCGAATGGAAGAACGGTGCCGATTTATTGCCTTCAATATTTCCATTTGACGCTTTTAAACCTGAACAGCTTGCAAGCACTGTATGTGCTCCGCTAGATGAGAAAAACAAAAACCTGCGCATTGACCCTTTCTTGTACAATTTCTTTGTACAACAACAAAACCTGACCACTAAGAAGCGTCTTTAGGGAAAAAAGGTCTCAACCATAAAGGAGTTAGTGAAGTGAGCTAGAAGACAACTGCCAGAATGTTACCTTGGGAGGTAACATCCCGGCCACGAACGACCTTCCCGTGACCTTCACGACCCTCCCCGGCTCAACCAGCTCTACCGGCTTGAGTGCTGCCACTGGCTCCACGTGGACTTCGATCTGGCCACCTCCCTTGGGAAAGTAGCCCCTGCAATTTATTTATTAAGCACTTAATTTTGCATTTATACTCCGTTTCACCTTAAAGGGCAACTCCGCTCGATTTCGGAAATTTTGGGATAGTGGGTGATATAAACGTGAAAAGTACTTCAAAACAACCCTAGACCGTTTGTCTCATTAAAAGCAAAATATTTCTCGTGCGATCTTGTTATTTACCATAATCGCAAACCGAAACTGAAACTTCGGCACAGTCGGGCAACATTGTACCTTCACCGTCAGTTGCATACGCACCCACGTGGAATACAAGGGGTCGCGTGATCTACCAGCGGTAACCCAAGAAAGACGCGGATGCGAGAGGAAGGGTGAGGAGGGAGGAGGGAGTCGCGGCGGCGAACAAGCAGCGACGAAGCAAGCTATGTAGGCGGCAACCCAGGCGGCTAGTCTGATCCCGTACAACTCTCTCTCCCTCATTTTGTTCCTTTTGTTCTCATTCATTTTTTTTTCTTTGTCTCGCCTCTTTGCTTGCTCAGAGGTGGAGCGCGACCGTAGCGCCGCCCGGTAAGTTTTCCCTGGAAAAGAAAATACCAAGAAAAAAACTGCGTATGCAACATACGTCAGCCACAACGGAAATACAACGTTGGCTGCGCCGCACGTCGCCCGCTAAATTAACGGATTTTCGTGACTTCGCGCATCTCATTTTTTATCGGCCGGTTTAGTGATCTTTTAGGTGGTATTACGTTATAATGTTTGACATTCGGTCTCTCTAGATGATACTAAAGAGAGTCGCAGTGTTTGCTAGCAACCGAGAACGAAGCGGAGTTTCCCTTTAAATCTGAGTGGAACCAAGGAATGGCAAAAAAAACAAAAAACATGCACACTATAAATGCAATGTCACGACATATTTTTTTAGCTTGATTGGATCAGTTGGCAGTAACACACGCACGCAAAACACAAAAAATGTTGTGACCTGGTGCTTTTGACCGAGCTTGATTGGACCCCACTGAATGGTAACTAGGATAGATTGGCTCCATCCTAGACACCATTTAAAGGCATTGGTAGCGATCGGACTTGAGGCAAAACAAAGCACACAAACAGCGTTCAGCGGCAGCGTGGGCTGCCAAAGCACGCCGAGTGTGGTGCGCCACCGGAAAAGAGCACTTCGAAGCGCCACCGCCGTCAATTTCTGACCGGCTCGCAGGTCTATCACGTGGTGCTTGTGCTCTTTCGGGAGCTTCCTATGGGATCTAAAAGTTACTCATTAATCTGTTTTTTTTTTTTTTTTTTTTTTGTCTTTTGTTACACTTAAAACGAAGAATAATGAGTAACGTTTAGAGCCCATAGGAAGCTCCCGAAGGAGCGCAAGTACCACGTGACAAATAGCGGCCAGTCACATGAGTGCGGCGGCCACTTTTCTGTGGGCTCCCGCGGGCGTTAACTACAAATTTGTTTCCCGCCAGAAATATAGCTCTAAAGTATTTTTTTTCGTAAATTTATTTTATGACATCCTTTTTTCATTTGGGCTGTTAAAAAAAAATTTTGTTTTTCTTTGCGTGTGTCGTTTAAAAAAAGACTAAAATAAAAACTTGGTCTATGACGTTATATTTTAAAGTTTTGAGTGACAAAACAGCAGCATTTTGCACTGGTTCTGGAACCTGTGTTCGATATAAATTGACAACTATCACACCAGCATGCGGTCGTCAATGGACCTTACGAACCCCTGTTAGGTCAGGAGCAATACCGCACTGGCTAAATTACCACTTTTCAGTGGGCACACGAAGGAAGGCCAACAGTCCGCTTGTCTAGACATCCATACGACAAATTTGACTTTCTAAATATTTTGTTCGCAGACACTCCATCAGCATTCCCACGAGCACATTCTGGCTTTACTGCCAGACATAAAGGATAAGACAAAGGTGGCCCAGAGCCTGGTACCTTCTAAGTACACGGATGTCGACTGCAGCCCCAAACTTCTGCAAAGCAGGTTGAAAAACCTGCCGAAGAAATGGGATAAAAATTGTTTAGCCCACGAGAGTTCATCATGCCATGTGACAGTTTTGAGCAGAGTCGTAGTGTCTGCTGCCGTTCCATCCCACAATTTCCAAACTTTTTGCAATGTTTGCCGGGTATCTTTCTCCCTCTTACAACTTCTCACTGCATAAACGTCTCACAAAACAGGCACACACTTGATTACAGACACTGCAGCCCCAAACTTCTACAAAGCTTCCTGGTTACCTGGTCAGCACTGTGTGTATGTTTCTGTGTATGTAATCGAGTGAGAGGCGTTCATGCGCTGTGAAGTCGCAAAATGGAAAGCCAACTAACCTAAGCTGCTGCATTAACAAGCATTATTTCTAGTAGGTACATCGGTGCCTAATACATATCTTCCTTTGAACCTAAGCTTCCTGGTCCCCTGGTCAGCGTTGTGTGTATGCTTTTGTGTCTGTAATCGAGTGAGTGCCTGTTTTGTGAGACGTTTATGCTCCGTGAAGCCGTAAGGTGGAACCAACTAGCCCAAGCTGCTATGTTAACAATCTTTCTTCCAAGTTGCAAACCTAAGAATCTTTGGCTTCGGTCGTACTTGGCAATGAAAATACCTTCAGTGTGTGTGCTCCACAGTTGATCCACCTAGACGTGACGCGCCCGGCGGCAATCTTTTCGGCACACACAGTTTAACTAAAATTTTTGAATCCACAACAAAGGCAAGCTGGACCTCAACCTTGCCTGCAAGTAACAAACGTAAGTTTATACACTATATAACACTGAAAGTTTGGAACGATTTTTGTGCCTCCACGCCTCCACTAAGGTGTGAGCGCATATTCCAGTGATTGCAAAGTCTCGCTTTGCATCTGGGCCCCGCCCTTTCTTAAACCGTGTTTTTGGGCTTGTTGTTTAGATTCGCTTTTCTTTTGTGCATGACGAGTCTGAGGTGGCCACCAAATAAATCAAAACATTAAAAAAGTGTTACAAATGCAAACATTGCCTCCTTAATGTTTCTTGATTGGTGCAAGCGAATAACAAACATTCCGATGCACCGACCAAACAATTATCACATTTCAGTCTGCGTCGTGGTTGTACAAGATATACACTTTTAGAGCACACCTCTTAGGCACCCGTTTCCGGCTTGAGCAGTGTTGCCGTTGGCGTAATTGCGTGTTGCATTATGGGACGTCTCCCATAGTGATGTCACATGTGACGTCACGTGTAGCCCGCGCATCGCATTATGGGACGTTTCCCGTAATGACGTCACGGGGAGGAGAAGGAGGGAGGAGGAAAAAGGAGTTTCAACAGAAAATGTCGAACAATCCGCTGCAATTTTTATTATGCAATTTTTTAAGAGATTTAGTTATCTCCTTTTGTCTATATGAATATTGTGAGATAAATCATGAAAAGCAATGGTGCTGTATTGTGTGATGTTGAGTACAACCAAGCTAATGTTGAGACGCCCAACAGCTGAGCTGTACTACTTTCAAAAGTTTTCTTGCATTACCCTTCACTTAAATAAGCTGGTCATAGAAATCCCAACAGACTGCACGATTTGATGTCACACAAAAGCATGTTGAACCACAACACCGACTGCATGCAAGGTGGTATTTTTTTTTTTCTACCGCCACTTTCAATCACCTTCAACTGTGAAGTTCCAAAGCCCAAAAGACTGGAAACAAAAACAAACGGGTGGAAAACTAAAAACAAAATTACGATATTACTATTTTGGCAGGAAACCTCAAAATAATTCAAAAACCATTTCAATGGGGATTGTCAAAGTAAGGTTTAAAATATTGTCATGTCTATTTAATTTATGACTACCGTTCACCCCAAACATGACAAGTATGGGGTAGAAGTTATTTTTATTTATTTAATAATATAGAAGAAAGAATATAAAATATATAAAAAGCAAAAAGAACAAACAAAACTGTCCCTTAGGCCTACAATGAGTGTATATAAAGTATGCTATGCTCCAGTAGTACGAAAACCAGATCCAAACAGTCAACACTGGTTATTACTTCCTGCGAATAGAACAAGAAAAACAATGTACTTAACGGGCTATGTTACATAAATTTGAAATAACATTTGCAAAGTCCTCTGGGCAGCTTATCAACAGAACGTTCAGGGAAGGTTATTCAGAAAGTGGCGTCGCGGACATCAAAATAACACTCAAATTCCTTTTGGCGATGGATGCCGAAAAAGTCGCTGCCTAATCGATTTACGTGGCTAAACTGTCACCGGTTCAGATTGGAGCTTGTCCACGAATGCCCAGCTTGCCTCCGCCTTGCACTTCGGCGTCTCTCCGAATGTAGAATGGAATGCAAAACGACGCGGGAGCTAACCGAGAGTGTGTAGTCGATCTGGGGCGCCATCTCCGCGTTGGTTCCTCCGCGAAGCCACAGCGTCGAAGGGCCGTCTGCAAACAGCAGGCACGGGAGAGCCACTTGCAGCAGCAGCACCACGCTCCTGCAGACACCGGACACAGGGGGCCCACTTCAAGCTGGGAGCGTTCTCGGCTGCTCGAGACGCGCATACCCTACCTTCCACGCCACAGCTTGCGTGTAGTCAACCAATGAGACATTTCTGAACCGTTTGCTAGTTCACAGTCGGGCAATATTTGGTGAGAATGTCTCACCAACAAACAAATTTAAAAGAGAGGCTTCACGGCCTCTCGTATAGTTATTCGACAAGCGGTCGAACTCAGCTTGCGTACAGCAGCACAACAACTTGGGATGTGCAAAAGAAGTGCAGGTTGTCAATGGCTTCCAACGTGAAATGGTGGACGATCACAAGCTCAGCTTGCATCCGATCTCACTTTGCCGCAGCACAAACTTCGTAGCAGATGATTAACAATTTTTATGGCCTGTTAAGAGACCAGATTTATGTCCCTCTGCAAATGACTGTAACGAATGAAGTGCATTCAACGCTCGCATTAACGCACAAACCGTCTACGAATGATATCATGGTTTGCTCCGCTATAAGCAAATTAGATCTCGCCTTCACGATGACCAAAATCGAATCCCAGGGGACAGAACCGACAGAATCGACGAAAATCAACAGGACGACAAATTTGTCCTTTTTCGCACTATTGTGCCAAAGGCAGTGGTAATACAGCGAGTGTTGTGCACTGCTTTGCGGCGAGGCTGCTCGGATGAACTTCAGAAGCATCTTGCACCTCGATGACGTGAACGCTGCGAGCACAGCACGTCTATAAGAAAGCCCTGCCAAACCTAGTGCTCCGGCGAGAGTGGAAGGCCAAGTTGGTGCCTCTTGCGGTCACACACCCACCTCCAACCCCGCTATCTGGCGTCTCCCCGACCAAGTATGTGCTCTTCCCTCCCGTCCCCTGCACACTTCCTCCATATGTGCAAGCAGCCTCGCTCCAAGCCCCCTCCCAGCCGTAGCTTCTGTCACCCACAGGAGGCCAGGGCACAGGCTAAAGAAGAGTGCTGCATCAGCATTCGACCGGGACTCGAGTTTGATCATGGCAAATGTGAGTTTCACTCAAACACTGACACAGCACTCGTGCGATGTTCTTTTGTTACAGGAGTACGTTAAAAAAAACGTGACTAAGAGCCGGCCACATAACGCATTCTGCGCTAAACACACGAACGAGCCTCCATAGTATGCTCAATGGCACTGAAATGCTCAATGGCTCAATGCTCAATGGCACTGGCACTGAAATTCACTCAATTACCGCAATGCCTAAATTAGTTGAAGGGCTGTCCAAACAGGATGCAGCAGATGCCGGGCACGGCATTTGCTGTACCAGAAGTGGAGGTTTTCCTCTGGTTCCGGTCCGCTTTGGCACAGATTTTTTGCAGGGGGGGTGTGGGGGAACCTACCCTTTGCTTGCGCTTTTTGACTGAGGCTTGGAGCACACTCATCACACGAGTTGGGACAGTCACTCGCATGCCCTGCTGGCTGCCGTCAAGGCCCCCACTGTCGTTGTCGGTCCCCAGCTTCCCAAAAAGATGAGCAGACGACAGCGAGGAGGCAAGAAGAAAGCCGTAAAATTTGCATGGTTGATGTCCTCGTGGAAAACATATGTGCGCGCCGGAACTTTCACAGTTTACGAGAAGAGTGCGCACTTAGTTCTGTTTTGTGTGGCACCTGCAGTGTCCTGTCTGGACAGCCCTTAAGCCTAGCTAGCACAATCAAATTTGTAACCTACCTAACAGAACAAAGCACTCTAGCACATTTTAAAGAGAAGGCATATTAATATCCAACTCTAGCAAGACCTTGTAAAGAATGCAGTGGGTGCATAAGCTTCCCTGCAGGGCAAAGACTGACCAACCGTTACAATCTAAAAAGGTAGAAACGAGGGTAAAGTGGACAGATTTGAAGCAAGCCTGTTGGTACAGACCTACAGTGAACAAAAGGCACAGATCTACAATGGAAAGAAAAATACAGAATAAAAGACAAACATGCTCAAGCTGAATGCAAAAACATGTCGTTCCAATGTTTTGACATAGTTTTGTTTTCTGCAGACAACATTTAAGCCCAAGCACGAAAGTGTTCTGGGACTTCGAGTGCATTGACGTTGCACTAAGTACTTCAGGAGAGGTCGGAACTTTATCTGTGCATGCCCATTCACTGGACACTTTCCGTATCCAAAAATAATTGGCTTTCTCCACGCCCTGCGGTAAAGCAGACGTGTGGGTCTTCCCGCCGAGAGGATACATTCAACTCGAGCAGCTACGGCATACCCAAAAAGAGTGTGTAGCGAAATGGCTATGACATCTAGGTTGATGCACGAAAACAAATATCCATTCGAAAAAGAACAATAAAAACTGAAAGGCCACGTGACGATTTTAAAAATGCAACTGTCAAAGAAGATTATCTAAGTGGACTAGAGGTTATGAACCGTAGTCATGCACAGTGATACAGGCTCTGGAGTGAGACCAGAGAAAACGGTGCACTCGATTGATTTGGTGCTCACCCAGCTGTTCCCGTGTCGGCGGTAAACTCTCCGCCCCTTATCGGACCGGGGTAGAAGGTCACTTCTGTCGATCCAATGGCGGCATTCTCCAGGCGCCCTTTGCAGATGTCCCTCACCAACCTCAGTCCACTGAGATGCTGCGGCCTGAACCATTGCAAAAAGCCAACATTCCCATCATGCCACTGCAGTACTTAAAAGGAAGGGGGGAGCCTCGAGTCCCCCACAAAAATATGCGAGGCAACACCCATATTACCACTTCTAAAATAATACTTTGTTGTACCATGGCCAGCAACTGCATCCTGCCACAGAATGGGCCAAGGACAGTAGCATAGCCAGGAATTATTTTCAGGGGAGAGTTGGGATTTCTATGATCAGGAAAAGGGGGGGGGGGGGGGGGGAGGGGGGGGGCTTTGTCCCATTTTTGCACAACACTGCACAACACAATTCACGGGTAAGGACACGGCCCTCCCCAACCCCTTGACTGGCTGGAACAATTTGGTAGTCATTCAATATTTGTCTTCCTTTACTAAAAAAAAAAAGGAAAAGAGTAACGATTTTGGGTGAGGGGGTCTTCACCCCCAACCCCCCCCCCCCTTTTTTTTGCTTATGGCACTGGTCAGGGAGATTTAAACTGTGTAGGGTTTGGTACCACAATGTACGCAAGGAGCCCAAGGTGTGCCCTAGAACTGCGGAATCCCCAAAGCAAAGGATCACAAATGCTATAGCCTTACATCTCCTTTGGCAGCAGTCAGAGTGAAGGCGTAGCTTTAGTTTACACTATAACTTCTGGATTCACTCTTGTAGTTTGCTCCTCACCACTCATCCTCCATCTCATCCGAGTGCCATTTGTCTGCAGGATGATGGTGCACAACACTGCTGACTGGCTCGTGGCATCATCCCTTAGAAGCCGAGGCCTGTGCAACACGTCGGCGGCGGCGGATTCTTAAGCGGCAAATGTGTCGAAACGCAACAACAGTGTGCGGCAAAGTAGCAGACACTTGCGTCTCCACATTGTTGCCTGCTAGCACCTTGCTCGTTGCAAGACTAAGACGTACTTGCAGCAACGCGAGCTAGGCAATGCTGCATGGATCAACTAGCGATGACGTTGATAGAGGAAAGGCCTTGTCTTCTAAGCAGTATTGCTCGTGGAACTTCCCCTTTTCATCAGTGCCATCCTTTTCCTCCTCGCAGTTCCACCACACTCTCCTCCGGGAAGATAGGCGTACCCGCCCCTCCAATCTAGCCCCCTTGGCCAAGGCAGTTAATGACTGCCAGTGGCATTCAGTAGTGGGGCCATACCAAACACAAGCAGCAGCAATACAGCACCTGGAATCTGTCTCCAACTGATGCACCCTATTTCGCCTCACCCTACGATGAACCAAAGGCCAAATCTACCGGCCGTCGGGTCCAATCATGAGCTGGTTGGGAACTAAGTGCTGCCCCAACCTAGGGCTTTAGAGCTCAGAGATGCGCGCGCGCATTAACCCGGATGTCAGAACATGTGGTTTTTTACTGGCTCATGATTGGAGTCCATCTTAAGGCTAGTTCAATATATGTTGCAACCGCTTGCAGACACTTACGAAAAAAAAACACCCCAGGGAAATCGATGGGGTTGCCTAGAATGCTTCCGATCTGTGTATACATTTTGCAATTCTTTGACCATGTGCTTAAAATATTTCTGACAATGTCACGAGATACCATTTGTCATACATAGTGCATACCTAGATTTAATTTCGCGAATACTGCAAAACCTTCGGTCTAGCTATACGGACATTTTCAGGGCTACCTGATGGATTAGTGTGTTCCCTCATTCAGGTGGGTAGGAGCAACCACAATGCAGTCAATAACGCCCCAAGGCAAAGGTGTGAACAAGCCTCACGGCGAGACAAAATATAGTGCTCCGCATCTAATGGAGAACATTTGCGAAAGGGCAACGGGCCACATTACGGGGATATTTGGGGGCACGGCTCACACCTTTGCGAGCCTCGCGGCTGTACAATTGGCCCACACTCATGTAGCTTGCAAGTGCAGCCATTGCAGGGTTCTGACGGCTATTTCTACTTACTGGTTTCTTCGACCTAAAACTTCTGCGGTGTGAAACTAACGCGGCGAACCGAACGCTCGCAGAGCATTAAATACTGTCATGACCGCGAAGGACGTCGTATGCAAGCTATGTATAGTCGATTACAGGTTACGAACTCAGCGGAAGATCTTCCCACCTGCTTAGCAGAGCGAATGGTGGAGAGGAGGTCGCCTCCTCTCCAGCGTTCGCTCTGCTAAAGTGGAAAGGGTTGGGTTGGAAAGGGGACGGCTATCAAGGATGGTGCGCTTGCCTCAATCCTGGACTGCTACGGCCGGCTCGGATGTTCCACACTCGCACAGGCTTCCGAAACAGGGTGCTGAACGCGATGGCCATGCGGAGGATTTGTCCACCCTGCAGAGAGGAGAAAGAACAGGGGGTGCCTGGATGGCCTGGAGTTTCGGTAAACGTGTCACGACAGGCGGAGCCCGCCGCAACCGAATACGAATGCCACTGGCTAATGGTTTCAAGTTACCCCTTCCATGACGCTTCCGTCGATGGCTATTACTTCTGACGAATCTCCAGACATGTCTCAAGGAAGTACGGTGCGAATAATTCGATGCACTTGCAGATTAATTAGTTTCACGGGAAGTTTAGCTGTCAAAGCGCACGAACCGTGACAAAATTCAGAGCTAGAAGCAAGCCGGTCAGTCAAATGCAGGCAGCTTGGATTGGCTTGGATTTGCTTAGATCTACTGGTGGCACAATGTTGCAAAGTCTAAAATTATTTCTCGCTAGGAGCCCGCACAGAAACTAGAGCGTGCGCGGGGACTCCGCCACTCCGCTCTCATTACTCCACCAAAACTACTACTGTACTGATTATCGCGTACACCAAAATAACTGCATTAGTGCTCTTGCTGTAGGTTGAGAACATTATCGTAGCATACTTGGTGGGCAGCGCAGCGCGTTAAGAGTTTTATAGATAACGACAGGAAACGGGACAACACATATTTCATGAGTTGTCCCGTCCCCTGTCTTTATGTATAAAACTTTAAAGTTACATCGCAGCAATTTCTGCGTTCCTCATATTCACTACCCCCACGCTAAATCTGCAATTCACCACCCCCTCTAGCGTCGTCGCAACGCACGCAACACTGCCCGTGTTGGAGTGCAATTGTTTCGGTTTCGATTGCCCCGTTGACGAAGTGGTGAATCTCAGCCTTGCATGAAAATAAAGTCAGCGCCCGGTTGCATTTGCCTACTCATCTTCATGAGAGCCCCCGTTGAAACACGGGCCTCCAGCAACTATAAGAACCTGCCCAGATATAACCAGGGGCAGGAGTACGGCCGGCCGCTTCCCACACCTTTACCACTTTAGGGTGCAGCAAAACCGTCCCTGCTCACTCAGCCTAGGACACTGAGGCGACAATGGAACAGGATGATCTATCCAGTATGCTTCTTCCATCTGCAAACATAGTTCTATATCAGCGACCCCGGAAGTGTATTTTACATGGGGGGGCTCACGGTCGAAATAAAGGGTGCAGTTGGGGGGGGGGGGGGGGGGGGTGAAAAAAATGAAAATTGAAAAAACAGTGATTACCGAAATTTCACTGTTTACAGAAGGTTAATTATCATTTCCTATACCGTGCATCTCTACATTATCCAAAATTCTTGCCACGGAGCAATGAAATGTTGACGCAGTCGGATCCAATAGTGGCAGCTACACGGTGGCACCGATCTACGGTGTCGATGTAAAATGCACTGGAAAATCGGGCGCCTTCACATAGAGAGCTCACATTTTCAGCGAAGGTGTATTTCAATCCTGGATGCCTTCCTGTGAAGTTTCTAGGCGTAGCTCTGTTCTTGTAAAAATTTATGACAAACAATCTTGAAAATTTCAAAGAAGCGTCCGCTCCGCCATATAGACCGAGCTTACCACCAGTGGATGCGGTCGTCAGCATTTAATTACAATGGAACCGAAAAAAAAAGCTCGATAACATGAACTAATTTTTTTTTTGGATTGGGGTAATTGGTTCACGTTCGTTTAAAGGTTTAAAAGCGAAAAAAAAAAAAAAAAAAACACGGCCAAAGAAGTTGAAAGTTAGCGGCCGTCTAATGATCTACCTGTTGCTTTTCGTACGTTTTTTTTTTTTTTTTTTTTTTTTGCATTTTTAATTTTTTAAAGTAACTCGGTAACATCTTTGCGCTTTAGATCATTGGCTAGCATCTAGAAGCGTTTTGACGAGACAGAAATGTGTACCACACCAACGAGTTTCAACGGAAGACACACTTTGCCTGTTATAATTATTATAAATTTTACAGACTGTGCTCAATAAATTCCACAGGATAAACAACATTGAACTCTAAATATGCTTTCTTAATCGATTTGAGAAATATCGGTAACTAAAAGATAATCGACAAAGGCCGCCATTGGTCTCATTATAGCGTTGAAGAATGTACATTAGTGGAAGGCGAATTTATGTGCGCGTTAGTGTCAAGGCTGAACCGACTACGACTACGACACACCGAGGCAAACGCACAACTATTCTTCTACGTTAAGAGAAATGCGACTTTCTTTAGAACACGTCACCACAATGCAATGCTTTTGGGAATTAAATCGAAAAGCTAGCCGTCTCGATGGCTCCAAGGCAAAGCGCCGGCCTACGTTTCCCCGGGTGGTGGGCTCGAAGTCCCGCAACCGTCATGACGGGGGCTTATTGCAGAGAAGGCGCCGTGTAACCGAGCTTTTGGTTGCAGGTCAAAAGATCCCCAGGGGGGTCGAGATGAATCCCCGGTCCTCCGCTTGGGCGTTTCAGGTGCCCGTCGTTGGTTTGGCACGTAAAACCCCCAAATCTGACTTTTAAAACCAATTCCCACCAAAAGCGGTTAGGGGATCTGACATACTTTACCGGGAGTTCACGTAAGATGTTTCGTTAGCTCTTTGAAGTGACCGCGCGAATTTCGTTATGTTGAATTAACCTGAGACTGGGGTAGAAGGAAACATCAGAACATAGAAGGGACAGAAAATAGACAGGACGATGTCTCAAGATGTCGTCCTGTCTATTTTTTGTCCCTTCTATTCAACATGGTTAATATTCACCAGCTCGCCTGAACCCTTGTGATTTTTTCTATGCGCCAATTTTCTTGCTAACGTGCGTGTTACGATTTACTACAGAGATGCCCGAACTTGGTGGATTATTATTATTATTATTATTATTATTATTATTATCATCTTTTTTTTGAAAATGAAGAGATTAACTTTTTTAGTGAAAGAAAGAAAAGGAAAGAAAAAAAGCAGTTTTTTATGGGTAAATTTTCGCGAAATCTCTTTTTCGCGAAACTATCAAACATTTTTCTGGGAAACTGAGGCGTTTATTATGACTGAAAAAATGGGTGGAATAAAAATAAAATACAATATTACATAACATAGCCTTTATTTCGCCAGAATTAACGCCACAGTGGCCCAACATATTATTTGGTGTTCATACGCAAAATAAAAAAAAAAAAAAATTTTTTTGTTTTGTTTAGTGAACTAATTTTATTGAAATTTTACTGATTACTTCCACCATAAAACTACGTCTGTGTGCTAAATACCTTCGCAATATATTACAAAACTGTTTTTTGCGGTTATTTCATAGAACAACGGAACATTGTGAACTTCCTGCAATGCAGTTTATGCAACCTAAGATTCGACAATTCCCTCTTGCTTTGCTACTCATGCACACACACAAAATTGAAACAAAACCTATCGGATTTTTTGTAAATTCTGGGTGACTCTTGGTATGATACGGACCGCTGCTGCCGTGCCGAAGGTTGTGTATTTCTCTGACAAACTGCCAATTTCTTGGGCACCCGCAACCACGCATCAAGGAGCGTCCTTTTGGTAGACATAATGATTAAACGTGTAAAACTATAAATACTGTGTATTTTTAGCGTTGCACTAGTCAAAAAAAAAAAAAAAAAAAAAAAGTACATGCTTTGATGTTGAAATGTCCAAACAAACCGTCCGCCGATTTCACAGTGACAAATCTACAACTGCAGTTTTAGTGAAGTGACAGGGCGAGGAGAAGGAAGGCTGGGGAGGAGGAAGCAGATGGACTCTGGGAGACGAGGAAAGACATCCCCTTCGTTCCAGCACCTTCAGTGGCAATGCCTTTTTTTATTATTTTTTTTTATTATTATTTCAGCATGTTTCCTGTTTTTATGGTCGTCTTTGAAAATACGCTGAAACCGTCTGGGTGCATAATAGGGCGCCCGCCTGAACATAGCAGGCTGGCTCGCCAAGACCCAAAATTGTGTTTCGGAAACAAAGACGCAGAAATACCGGCGAAGATGCCGCGGTTCTTAGATGTCTCCGACGACCACCGTGGTAGCAGCGTTTCAACACAGGCTGCAGTGCGACTGCGATCTCTCCCTTTACAACCTGTGTCGCCCTTCTCTTGCCTTGGGAGTTGGGAAACTTTTCCCCCTCAACTCGCTACATTTGTAGACCAAATACTTTATTTGTGTAGGCAGTCTCCGTTCAAGAAGGGCTTTCTTTTCGCGCAGACCGCCTTACCGCCTCGCGATCGGCTCTCCACCCGGAACCAACAACCCGACCTTCGTGGTTACCCTAACCCCCCCCCCCCCCCGCCCCCCCCCCCCCCCAAAAAAAAAAAAAAAACGCCGTTGAAAAAAAAATAGAAGAAATTTTTGTATTTTTGGGGAAACGTCGTTGCTCAAAATAGAAGCAACACGAAGAAGCCGGCTGGCTGTGTGTACAAAAACAGTGCGCTGCGCGTTCCCCCTCATGGCCAACCCGCGTGTGGAGTAGGGTAGGGAGCCTTCATCTGAGCACATGAAGGCACCCTGGATTCCCTCACTGTGCTATGCAAGCCCCAGGCGCCGGCTCTTTTTTCTTTTTTTTTTCTCACTCTTTCCCATTTTTTGAAGCTGTCGCGTCGTCCGCGGTTTATTGAAGGATCGCTTCGATTTTGCAAAACGATCCCGGCAGGTCGCGGAGTGGGGGAGATCCCCCGCTTTTTGGCCACTGCCATTTGAATGTGGTGAAGTAGGGAAGCGGATGCCTCCCGGCAATGGCATCCTGGCTGGCATTCGTCTCATGCCAGTGTTTTACATATGCGCTATGATAATCGTATTTATCCACTAAACAAGAACACCTACAATTAATCAAATGTGCGCGCTTTGCGAGTATACAGGGCGCCCCCAAAAAATCAAATGTGCGCGCTTTGCGAGTATACAATACAGGGTGTCGGATGGATGGATGGATGTTACTGGCTATACCCTTTGTATCGGGTGGTAGCTTGCGCCACCTAGCCTAAGTCTAAGAAAGACTTAGGCTAGGCTACAGGGTTGTTTTCTTTTACTCCAATATAAACTACGCATCGCCCTGAGGGCGAGGGGAATCGGTGGCCGAGTGGGCTAGCGCAGACATGTACGTAACGCGTTACAGGTAACAGTATAGTTACTATTTTCGGTAACGAGTGACGTATATAGTTACTTTTCTGGAAAAGGAACGGGTAACGGGCTTAGTTACTTTGAAGGCCAAGTAACGAGTAACGCTATATCGTTATTTTTGAGGAGTAACGTGTACAACAGCACTTAAACGGCATTTATTTTATTCTGACCTGAGTATGCGCCTTTTGCGAGAACGGTAGGTGGGTAACCCGAAAAATAACTAAACGGTATCGCAGTACAGCAACGTATATCGCTGAACACGTCAG